TATTTTCCAAGGTTATTATTATTGATTCCTTTGCTATATATAGCCTATTCAGATTGTGTATTTCTTGTATAAGTTTTAGAAGGATGTGTCTTTCAAAGAATTGGTGCAGTTCATCAAGATTACCAAATTCGTGGGCACAGAGTCATTTGTGGTATTCCTTTAGTGCTCTTTAAACAGCCCTGTGATCATTCGTAATGTTCCCTCTTTCATTTATGATACTAGAGACTTATCTTCTCAGAGGACAAATTTTAGTTTTATTGATTTTTCTCTATTGATTTTCTTTTTTCAATTTCACTGATTTATGTTCAAATCCTTATTTCTTCTACTTACTTTGGATTTAATTTGCTAGGTTTTTTCCTAGTTTTGTAAGATTTGAATTTATATCTTCCTTCTTAATGTAGTCATTCAGTGCTCTAAATTTCTAAGCACTGTTCTCATTGGATCCTACAAATGTTAATTAATTTTGTTTTTATTTAGGCCAAAATATTTTTAAGTTTCTCTTGAGAGGTCTATGTATTTTTGCCCATGTGTTATTTAGAAATGTGTTTAATCTCCAGTGTTTTGGAATTTTCCAGCTCTTCCTTGTATTGATTTTTAGTTTCAGTCTATTATGATCAAGGAGTAGACATTGCACGATTTCTCTTCTTTTAAATTTGTTACGGTGTGTTTTATGGCCCACAGTGTGATATGTTTTGGTGAATGTTCTCTGCGTACTTGAGAAGAATGTGTGCTCTGCTGTTTTTGGTGAAGTCATCTTATATCCAGTTGATTGGTGGTGGTACTGGGTTCAACAATGATTTTTTTACCTGCTAGATCTGTCTTGTTCCGAGAGAAGGGTAGTGAAGTCTTCACTAACCACAATGGATCCATTCCTGTTTATCCTGGTAGCTTTACAAGTTTTTACCCCCTCTGGTTTGATAGTCTGTTGCTAGGTGCACACACATTACTACTTGTTAGGGAGAACTGACCCCTTTGTCATTACATAGTGCTTCTCTTTATCCTTGGTATTTTTTCTTGCTCTAAAGTTTGCTCTGTTTGAAATTAATACAGAAACTCCTTTCATTACATAAATGTTAACCTGGAATATCTTTCTCCATTTACTTTTAATCTATAAATGTCTTTCAAGTGGGTTTCTTGTAATCAACATATAATTAAATCTTGGTTTTTTTTTAATGCATTCTGACAATCTCATTTAATTGGTAGGTTTAGAACATGGACAATGTGATCACTGTTCAAAGCGATTACTGATGTAATTAGACTAATATCTACCATATTTTAAAATTGATTTTAAGCAAAAAAATTTGTTGCCCCATTCTTTGATTTTATTTTTTCCACCTTTTAACTGAGCATTGTATGATTCCATTTTCTCTCCTTTCGTGTCATACCATTTACACATTCTTCTTTTACTTTTTAAATGCTTGCCCTAGAGTTTGCAATATTCGTTTACAACTATTCATGCCTACTTTCAGATAGCACTCTAACACTTCACAGATCATGTGAGGCTTTATAACAGTGGAATAATCTTTTCTTCTATCTCACATGAGGCATTGTTTGTGTCATTCATTTCAGTCCACAGCTTTACTGGAGCTTTCTTTCTGGTCAAACTCACAATGTTTTAAAGAATTCTGCTGCACTTTTTACTTTTGATTCTCAACATAGATTTTGCTAAAAGACCCCAACAGTATCCACGACACTGTTATCAAATCCTTTCCTAATTCTTCCAAGCCAGTCCCAAAGGCTCCCGAACCACATGATCAGGTACCATCACAGCAATGACCCCACTTCTTTGGTACCAAAATATGACTTAGTTACTTTTCTCCTTGCTGAGACAAAATACCTGACTAGCAGAAGGAAAGACTGTAGAGGTTTCAGCCCATAATTGGCTGGCTCCAAGGCAGAGTGGCATGGCAGAGGGACATCACAGAGAAACAGTTCATGGCAAGCAGAAGCAGCAAGTGACAAGTGACCAGTATCATACACCCTAATCTAGCCACATCCGAAAAGCCCCACTTATGCTGGTATGAGGCCTTGGGGGGACATCTAGATACAACCCACAAGAGGACTGAACCCAGGGCCTTCACACTGAGCTACAGCACTAGCCCATTTTATATTTTTTATTTTGAAATAGGATCTTACTAAGTCACTACATGGCCCAGGCTAGGCTTGAACTTAAGATATTTCTGCCTCAGCCTCCCAGAGGGCTGGGATTATAGGCGTGTATCACCATGCCAGGCTCTCTTAACCCTCATATCAAATTACAAACAAGGAAAAGTATTTATGTTACATGCGGTTACTCCTTTTTTTCCTCATCTCTTTATATATATGTGAGTTCCTAACCTATGTTATTTTCCTTCTCTCCAAAGAACGTAACATTTCTTGCAAAGCAAGTCTTCTGGCAACAAGTACCATACTGGGAAGGGTTTTTTCCTTTGGCCTCTTTGAGAATTTTTTCAGTGATAGTCTGTATTCTGAAAACGATATGCCTATATGTAAGTTTCTTGTTATTTATTTTGCTTGATGTTTTTCCTGAGCTTCCTAGACCTGTGGTTTGGTGACTTGATAGTAATTTGGGGAAATCCTTAGTCATTATTGTTTTGGATATTTTTTCTCTGCTTCTGTTTCTCCTCCTCCTTGTATTCCCTTGATAGACACTTTCTGCAGTTGGCCCACAGTCTGTGGATGTTCTGTTCTGTTGTTTTCAGTCTTTATTTTTGTTTTCAGTTTCGGAGGTTTCTATTTAAATACACTCAAACTCAGAGATTCTTTCCTTAGCAGCAGTGTCCAGTCTAGTAGTAAGCCCATTGGAGACATTCTTCATTTCCGCTACAGTGTTTTCCACTTCTAGCATTTCTTTGTGGTTTTCTCGAGAATTTCCACTTCACTGCTTACCACGTCTGCTGTAGCATACTCTCCTTTACCCGTTAGAGCCTTTAGTTATTACAGTTGTTTTAAACTCCCGTCTTGGTAATTCCGACATCCCTGCCATGTCAAGTTCTGATGTTTGACCTCTCCAAATTGAGTTCTTGGTCTTCTTTTTTTGGTGGTGGGGGGGTTGAGACGGGGTCTCAGTAATTAAGACTGGCTTTGAACTCATGGCAGTCCTCCTACCTCAGCCTCCCAGGTGCTAGGGTTACAGGCGTGCACCACTGTGCTCGGTTAAGTTCTTGGTCTTGTAAAAGGCGTTTTCATTTCTTCCCAGCAGTGGACATAATGTACATACTGGGTAAGACTACTTCAGTAGGCCTCTAGTAATGTGTTGGTGTGATGGACGGGAAGTTACCTGTCTTCAGTTGGCCTGTGCCCCAGAGCTGTGGACTTCACACTGTTGTGCCCAGATTTCGAGGTCCCCAAAGACCACCAAGGAGCCGATTCCGATGTAAACACACGAGGGTCGTTTATTCAAGCTCGAGCAGGGACTCCCAACCGTCACTGCCGCAGCGGGTCAAGATTGAGAGCCCCGACTCCAAATCAGCAGGGGTTTTTAGAGTGGGTACAGCAAGGTTCTAGATTGGCAATTAAACCTGATTGGTTGTGCCTTGCGCACCCAAGCTGCAAACGGTTTCTAACTACTGATTAGCTGTCGCTAGGGGACGGCTGAACACTATCACGTGCAGGTGGTCAAAATACATCTTGTGGTTTTTCTTAGAACTGAAATTTATGCCACCAAATTTTAGAATGGAGTCACTTAGGTCTCACAACACATGCTTCTAAGTTTCCAGACCCCCAAGTGGGGTGAGAGGGTTAAGTGGGACTTGGTTGCTTCCTTTCCCCAGATCAGATAGTCTTTGACAATACTCAGGTAGTTGAGGGCAGACTTCCTTCAGGGGAACAAAGTCCTTGGGCCTGTTTCAAAGTGATTTCTTTCCCCTTTCTGCTACTAGAAGCTTGAGGGCATTTTTTTCTGGTGTTCACTGTGAGAACTTGGTTGAGCTCCTGGAGGTAAAACAGAAGTTGGAGGAGCTCCCTTAAGACTGAGTGCCCCTAAAGTTGTTAACCTTCAGTCTTTTCTCTGGTGAGTGGTCTCTAGCCAGGTGCGGGGCTTGCTCTGAGTCCTCACCTCTCTTACGGATCCAAGAAGAGCTGATGGTTTTTCAGTCTGTTTGCCTTTTTACTTGTTTGTTAGGACTGAATGATGACATCTCAGCCCCTACATCAGTGGTGGCAAACCTATGGCAAGTATGTTACTGTGTTTTTCTGACAAAAGATGTTAATCTAGAGTTGTTTTTTTCTAAACTAAAACCTCAGTATTCAGGTTTCATTGCAATACTGGCACTTTGCAATAAATAAATGGGCTTTGAGTTGCAGTTTGGCCCTTGGTCTTAAAGGTTCACCATCACTGTACTACATAGTTATGGGACTGGGAACCAGAGAAGCCTTCTTTCTCAATATAGTTATTTAAAGGTACCAATGTCTGTCTGTGCATTGCAGTAGCTGCCTCCCCCGGCTTTTGTTCTTTGAGACAGGGTCTTGCTGTGTTCAGGCTGGTCATGAACTATGTAGCCCAGCTGGCCACAAACTCACAGTGACCCTCCTGCCTCAGCCTTGCAAGTGCTGGGATTACAGGAGTGTGCCACTGCTCCCTCCCATAGGTTTTAGTGTGTTGTGATTCCATTTCCTGTGTCTCAATGTGTTTTCCTGATCCGGCATGTGATTTGTTTGACCTGTTGGTTACTGGCTTTGTGGCCAGCCATGCCCATCTTGGGGAGTGCTCCTATGCACTTGCAAAGAATATGAATTTTTCTCATATTGTGTGTTCCTATGGATGTTTGGTTTGGCAGGTTTCCTGTGTTGTTCACATTTTTTCTGTTTCTCTGCCTGGTTATTTACGTGTATTGCAAGCCCTTTCTGGGAGGCCTGTGCCTTCTGATTTAGGCCACATGACGGGCCACCATCAGGGCAGACCCTGGCATTTTTGGGGTGCCAACGTTCTTCCCTGGGAGTGGTGGTGCAGTGCACTGCATGCAGGGCTCATGTGTCCTGTGCTCCTCTTTCAACCCTAGGCTCCCAATGAGTCCCAGCCCGGACTGCGGGGACCAGGCTTGCCACTGGCAATAGTGCCACAAGCAAAAGGAAGTTTGTTCAGCAAGGGCAGATCCCGGATAGCAGCCCCTCCTTCTGAGGTGGTTTTGGATTTGAAAGGACAAAGTAAAAAAGGTAAGCAGAGTCTGGAAGTTTCTTTTACACCCTCTCCAAAGCCTTGTTCATATTCAGCAAGTAGCAGGAACTCAGGTGCTGCTGCCGAGACACATACTCCGAGGGCAGAGTGTGCAGCCTGATAGTGGTGAGCTCAGTGATGGGGCAGGGCAGGGGCAGGTGTCTCATCGGGCACTGGGATTAGGGCCGTGGGGGCCTCTTCCCTTCTGCCAGCCTATCCTTACAGCTGTGTAATGAGAAGTCCAGACAGGACTTTTACTGGAGACATCACTGGGTTTATGGGGTTATGGGATTAAGGGAGGCAGCTGAGCCCCTGGCGGCTGTCAGTGGGAACAAAGGTGTGACTCTTGCGTGGACCCAGGTACCCATCTCAGACCGATGACAGTCACATACACAGCACTGCACCAACCTCCGCTTATAGCTTGTTGAGGTTACTTTCCTAAATTGCTTCTCTCGTCCTCATTATGAGGATGAGCTGCCACATCAAAGCCTGTGGTCTGTGGCTGAGGTTACAAAGTAAGCTCCCCAGCTGGTTCCGTACACAGCCCAGCTCCTCCCCACTCCCTGGAAACACCCTGAGAATTGAGGGGCAGCAGGTATTTTTTGTTTTGATCAAAATGACTACGTTGCAGCTAAATGATGTTCTGTGCACAGAGCAAACCAATGAGATACAGGGTGTGAGTGAGGAGGAGCCTGAGAGAGACAGTGGTGGACCTCCGAGGGAACCAGGCCAAGGGCAGGCTGAAGAAGACTCGCCCATGCATGGCAGAGGCCTTGGAGGAGCTGGAGAAATCGGCCACACCATACAGGTGCCAGCTGCCCTGTTGGCGAGGCCCGAAAACCAAGAGCCAGAAGAACCTGAGCGGGACCAGCTTGTTATCCGTGAAGGGCCGGAGGAACAGGCTGCTGCCAAGGGAGGTGGGTGAGGCTCCTTTCTACCAGGTACTCAGCCCTCTCCATCTTCCTAACCTGATGCATGCCCTTGAATTTCAGCAGACAGCACTTCATGATCTCCCAATCTTTCTGTCATCCATAATCCACAGAGTTGGAGGCAGACAGGAATGGCAGTGCGCAGTGTAGCACTTGAGGTTTCAGAAACTATGCTAATAGGAAATCGAGTGGACTCTGAAGATACAGGATTTTGAGAGGAGTGCTTAGCAGAGTAGAAACTCCTTCCTGACAGGCAGATCTCCAGCATGCTTGTAATCTCTGCCTTCTTGTATGGCATCTGGTACAGTGTAGGTGGGACCTGGTGAGTGACTGAAAGACAGATGGAAGGGATGACTGGGGAGAAGTTACTGCGTATTTGAGCATTAAGGAAGATCGACATGTGAACCCATCTTGTGGAGTTCTTTTTCTTTTTAAAGAAATAAAGAGTGGAAATCTGTGATCAACAAAATATTCTGGAATGCATTTCCAGGCTTTTAAGATGTAGAAGGTTTCCATCCCACCCAATCCAAGAGCGCTTAGGAAGATATGACTGACATCTGCTCTGTGATGGGCCAAAAACGGAACTTGGGGGAAGTTACCCCAATTCGGTTTAAATCTCATTTTCACTTGTTTCTCTTTTGGAAGAAAGTTCCTTACCTGCTCCCAGTGGGAGGTCTCATGCTATGTGTATCAGTCCGACACCAAGAGGAATAGCTAAAGGTGGACTGAGGGAGCCTGGGGCCCATGTGATACCTGTGCCAGATGCAGGTGCAGTCACCTGGCAGGAATAAACCTCACATGGTATGCAGGTGCCTTTTCCCCTTAGTGAGAGCAGAGAAATGGAACTACAGATTTCCCAGACTGGTTTTCAATTGTAAAAGCTTTTGCTTACCTTCCTATATACACAAGTAAAGTGTTTGAACCCTTGGAATAGATCTCGTGAATGCACTTTGTCCTGACCTCCTTTTCTGGTTGCTCTTCCTCTGGGGATGAAAGGAGTATTCAGTGATCCCAGTTCCTTACACAGAACAGTTTTGTTCTTTTGCTCACAATAGTAACTCCACTCCCTTTCGGAGCAACAAGTCATTCTAAGGAAATGTTGTCATTACTCGGTAGTGTCCTCACTTCCAACCTAGGTTGAGGCCTTTTGGAGAAGGTGGCTGTGGTCAAGCTCATTACAAACTCGTGCTTTCAAGTGACCCTCCTGCTCAGCCTCCCCTCTTGAGTTGACCCATAGCACCCAGCCCCTTTTTTGGGGTTGGGGGAGTTGCTGAGGATTGAACCAGGGCCTCATGGTACAGGCCAAGTGCTGTACCCGGGCTGCACCCCCAGTCCCCACAGCCATATTTCATACAGATTCAGTCAAAGTGGAGCATTCACTCCCAGAAGATAACAAAGATCTGACTGCTGGAGGGTGACTGGGGTTACCCCCAGGACCTGGTGCTGATGTCCCAGGAGAGAAATGATATAGCTTACACTTGGTGTGACTTTACAGGAGGAAACCAGCAGAAGCTGGGAGATGATGACGACTACAACATGGATGAAAATGAGGCGGAATCTGAGACAGACAAGCAGGCAGCCCTTGCTGGGAGTGACAGAAACTTAAATGGTAAGGTCAGTGGTGGCAGTGGGGGCTTTTGCTTCTCCTTTTTGGTCCTTCACTTTGACTAGTTAGTTAATAGCAGTAATAATACGTAAGTAGTCATTTCAAGGAGACAATGTTTTGTTTAGCTTTTGAAAGTCAAAGTTGTGGGGTTAGGCAAGGGCTGAGAAGCCCAAGATATCACTTGGGAGAATTTGCTTTCAGTAACATTTAGGGATTTTCTAACAAAATGGCTGGGTCACCCCTTGATCACCCGTATCTCTGTAATACCTGGTGAAGCTAGTCTCCCAGCAAAAGCTCAGCTTTTGGGATACTGAGGACTGAACTGAGGGGTGCTCTACCAGAGCTACATCCCCAGCCCTTCTATTGTTTTCAAACTGTCTTGCTATGTAGCCCAGGCTGACCTTAAACTTGAGATCCTCCTGCCTCAGCCTCCCAAGTGATGGGATTAAAGATGCGCACCACCATGTCTGGCTTGATCCCTTCCTGAGCCCAGATTATCTCCTGATTTTTTCTAATCTCTATACTTTTTCCATTTCTCCTGTTGTGAGCTACAAAGTATTTCCTCAAAAAGAAAGCCTTCCAGTTTGCAGACTTTTCCTGCCTTATTTGCTTAACTCATGAGATAATTATTGTTCCTACAAGCTCTCTCATAATACCTTGTTTCCTTGTGTGCTTTCTAGCTGTGAGCCACTAGTGTCCCTGAAACTTATGGGAAGCCTCTGATGTGAGTTAACAGTTCAGCCTACAAGAAGGCAGCTTGTCAGCTGATATGAAGCCCCACACACTCAGCCTCTTTAAAGTGAACACTCATCTTTTGTTCGGGTTCCAGTCCTCTAGTGGCTAGGAACCGTCATCCACACATCTGCATCACAGATTTCTGTGCCGTTAGCCTTTGAGGGTCTCAGCTTTCTGCGGCTGTTCCCTGCTTCACTCCACACCTTGATGGGAGCCCATGTTTGGAAACTGAGAGGGCAAAAATCGTGAGGCTTTAACAGAAATCCTCAGGGTCAAAGCTGGCTTTGATGCTTAATGATTACCTGCAGGAGCTGATGACTTTTATTACTATTATGAGCAATGCATTAGTTTTAATGTTAATTTTGTCTAAGTTTAACTTTTCATTTTAAAAGAGTTTAGATTTTGGGGAAATGATGAAAGGAATTTCCATATACCCTTCATCCAGGTTCCTCAAAGGTTAACATCTTAATATAATTGTAGTATATTTGTCCAAAGGCATCTGATAATGTAATTATCTAATGTACTGACCTTATTCAGGTTTCCTTTCTCTGGTCCAGGATCATATACTGCATTGTCACACCTCTTTAATGTCCTTTAATCCTGAGCTGTTCTTTATTTATCACTCATCCTCTATCAACTCCTGGTCGTTTCTGTAGTGACACTGTTGTTTAGGTCTCTCAATGTGGGTTTGTCTAATTCAACAGCATGTTCTCAAAGTATGTCTTGTGCTCATCTAGGATGTCACCCAGTTGTTTAGTTTCTAGAAATTAAAGTCCTATTCGGTTGTTAAATTTTATTCACTGACAACGTTGGTGGTTTTTTTCAAGGCAAAGGTTAGCACAGTAGCAAGAAAGTTAAGCATCTCCGTTCTGTTCCTTGTGCATTGCTGACTCCACCAATCTATAGTCTTCCCATCTTGAGGCAGGTTCTGTCTCTTTTCTGGCGGAAAAATCCTGTAATGCAGCAGTTCAGTGTCCCACTAAATGCTTGGTTTTGCAGTGAAGCCTCCTTTTTTTTGTTTTGTTTTTTGGATACAGGGTCTTGTTGTGTAGTTCAGGCTGACCTTAAACACACTACGTAGTGGAGGCTGGCCTTGAACTCATGGCCATCCTCCTGCCTCAGCCTCCCAAGTGCTAGGATTATAGGGATGCGCCACCAACACACCTGGCCTGAAGCCTTGATCTTTCATTTTTAGCTTTCAGGTGCCTTTCCAAGGATCTGACCTTTGCAGAGCTCTAAACAAAGGGAGGAGGCAGGCTAGGTAAAGACAAAGGCTCTGCCAACTCTTTAAGATACAGTTCTAAGAGGAATTGTCATTGACAACAGCTTCAGCATTATTAACTGTAAGACCTTACCTCTCCAGGGAAGTAAGATGAAAAAGGCATTAACTCTAACTATTATACTATCAACTTATGACAGTCATTTATTTAACTATTCTTTAAATTTTTACCATGCAGTAGTTATACTGGTTTTAGCTTTTTATGATGTGTCTTTTACATCCTCCTTGTAAAGAACAGAGGGAGTCACAGACTGCAGCTCTGTGGGTGGCACATGGAGCAGGAGGCAGCATGTACACCACTAGTATGCACTAGGACAGCAGCACAGCAGGGTCACAGTCTCATATTTCAGTCTTAAATAATTACTGAGTTCGTAGGTGTCTGGGCTTTGTTTTGTGCTATGAGGTTGGCCATACGGTGCTAGTTTCATGTCCTTTTTATGACAGTTTCCAGAAACTCAGGAGAAATGGGACCAGTCAGGCTGGTTTCTCAAAGTATTTAATACTGGAATATTATACACTTTTTTTCTTTCTTTTTAGTTTTTAATGCTGAGAAGAGAGACATCATAAATTTACTTGATCAGCGTGAAAAGCGGAATCATACACTCTGAATCAAACTGGTATCACATACGTGTCAGGACTGAACAGATCACTACAAATTATTCATGAGTGACTAAGTACACAAAGCTGTGAAATGTACTGAGTAAAGTGTACATCTAAAGATGATTGTGTGAGTTTAGTATGTACTTTATGTACGAAAACTGGGACCGTCTCAACAAACTGGGACGGTTTTTCGGGAGTACTTTTGTCTATAACAGGATGTCAGAATTTGTCAAACCTTACGGCCAATAAGTGTTTCATGAGGTCCCAAATAGAGAACAGGCTCTCCTTCCAATATGGTGACAGTGGCGCTTCTTTATAAAAAGCAGCCTGTAGAAGCCCAGCTGACAGGCAGGAGATAGGCTGTGCAGAGACCTTGGTCTGGCTGGTTCCCACTCAAGTCTTCTCCACAGGCTGTGCTGGCTGCTGGTGCCAGCCTGTCTGTCACTCCCACTCCTATGCACTCCTCCCGACCCACCCACCATGGCCCAGAGCACTGACTGTTAACACAGACATCACTAGCAACAGGTTTAACAAGCCTGGATACAGAGCTGGTTGGTGAGAGTTAAAAAGACTACTTGTATAATGACCCTTGTCACTCTTAATGTATGAGACACTACTGATTTATAATTTGAACGTTTGTGGTCTGTCCTTACTTTGCTTACTTTCCCTATGTGTGGGCAAAGCGAAATCTTAAGTACGTGTTACCAAGAAGAGCAACGACCGAAATAGACTTCTGACAACAGGGGCCAAAACAGAGCTGGCACCCTCTGTGGCATGCCCACGAAAGAGCCCAGACACTGAGGACTGATCTGCACCCCGTTTATCATCAGAGTAAAAGAAAAAAGTTGCTTGATGCTAGGGTTACAAAATGGGAATGTCTAGAAAGGCAAAAGAAATGCTATGTTGTCTTTGTGTTTACAGTTAGCTCTGGTAAATAACTCATAAAACTGATTTAAAAATCAAAGGTTAATATTAATTTTGAAAATGTTTCATCATAATTCAGTGATAATGAAAATGAGGTCTGACTTTAGGCTCTTCCCACTTGTGAGTCACACTAATGGCTTCAGTGAAGTGCTACAGGACAAGAGGGCAAGCAGCAGAATATGAGATGCAGGGCCTCAGGGAACATTTAGGTAATCTCCTCACTTCCAAAGGAGAGTGGGCCCAGAGGTTCCAGAGCATCTAGCTGCAGGGCTGGCCTCCCTGAGGGGTGCACTGACTGTGGCCTGGGGTCCACAAAGGCAGGCCCGTGTGTATTCATTCATGTGACAGTCTCCAATGTGAGTGTTCACGTGTGTCATTTTATCCAGTCTAAGATTCAGCTTGTCCACCCCAAAAAGGCAACTGAAGAAAGTATGGAAGTGTCTTTATAAATACATTTTTGTCTAAGTTCTTCTCCACCCTCCTTCTGTGGCCCAGTCTTAGGGCTGACATGAATTCCCTTGCTTTCTCAGTTAAAGTATTCACCTCATGTTTAATGTGTGTAAAGTTGCTGAGAAATAAAGTATTCCATTGGTTCAACTTTTAAAACTTTCACTGTTTTTAGCTGTTTTCCCTTTGTACCCTGTCAGATCCCTAAAGAGTCACCTGTCACACTGTGGATAAAAATTATGGTTTTAAATCTTTTCTGGGATAAGATGTTACTGTAAATAAATATTAGCTATGCTGCTTTCCACTTAGTCTTTAAGGAGTATGCTGGAGCCTGGAGGAGAGTTCTGGTGTAAGCTTGAGTGTTAAATAATTTGCCTTTCAAAGATGTAGTGAGATGACAGTAGTGGGATCTTCAGGGTGGTGAACCAGGTCTGCCTCTCTCAGAAAGAAAACATTCACTTTTGGTGGTGGGTGGAGTGGGGGTGTGTCCAACTCAAGGCTTTGCACATGCCAGGTAAACACTTTACTACTAAGCTGCCTTCCCAGCCAGAAGACATTCGTCTGAGCATTACAACTCACTCTAAAACTGCTGAGTTACCAACTTACCATCCGAGTATCATTTGAAGGATTAATCCTATGAGCTTAACTCACTTTGCAGCCATACTTTCTCCACTTGTTCTGATTATGTGAGAGGGGCTCATTTAAGTTATTCTAGAAGTCAATAGGGGACATGTCTGTGATCAAATGAAAGCACCACACTTTCCTAGAATGTAAACTAATGTCTAAACTTTAAATAGAGGTGCAGGTACTGCTTCTAGTTCAGAGAATGCATTCATAACTTTCATCATCCACCAAAACCTGGCTCCTTTTAAGTGGAAGACAGTGCAGAGGACTACAGAAAAAACTGTACAGTGTAAATGAACACACTAGTTCTGGTTAGAACTAGTTCTCACTTAACTCTTAAATCTGATACACCAACTTGAGTTTAGACACCTATTGCAAATATCAGACAAACTGACCAATTTTCATCAGACTCTACTTTGCCAGGCCTCCAGATATCTTCTTTTTACCATAGGGCCACTCCTCTCCTAGGCCCCAAGCTCCTAAGGACTTTAACTTCTTTATTAAATTCCCACCCAGCATGGCTCATCGCCATTAAGATAGGTTTTTACATCTTTAAAAACATCCTCAACCCTGAGTGAGCAGGTATTACAGAGTCAGCGCACACTGGATCAAGTCTTAGCAAGATGAAGTCCCTTTTCTCAAGTTCATAATGCAGTTCGGAAGATAAAAGACAGTTCGGTCTACACCAAGAGAGGAGAGAGCCTTGAGCCTTCCCTGGCATGTGGCACTTCGGCTGGAACTTGAAGGATGCCAAGAAAGTAGCCACAAGAGGCTAAGGAGCCAGGGGGAGGCAATGTGGCTGCAGCCTGGGAAACTGAAGGCTCTCGAGAGACCAGGTCTACACTGTAAAGCGATCACGTTTGCGTTATGATCTTTCATAATCGTACCAGCTCCTCTGAGACTCAAGTATGAATTTATTCACTATCTCTACTGCTTCACTCCTTCATCTGACTTTCCAGCCACTGTCCCATGTCTTCAAGAGTGAGCTCTCTGAGGGCTGGGGATTTAGCTCAGTGGCACCATGCCTGCCTCGCCAGCACAAGGTCCTGAGTTCCATCCCAGGTACCAGAAAAAAAAAAAAGAGCTCTCTGCTGTTACCAACAATCTTTACTTGGCAAGTCTAGCGGGCCCATTTTGGCCATTCTGTTACTGGCCTTTGTGGTTGTGCATTCTGCTTATTTTCCTGTTAAGTCTCCTGAAGGCTTTTCCAGTGACCAGAAGCACAGTCAGGAGAGAAAGAAGGAAAACAAAGACCTCTTCTAAATCTTTCAGGGTGCTCTCTGATCAGTATTTGTATCATCTTGGCCAGGAAACTGTCACGTGAGAGCAAAACAGTGAACTGACACAGAAACTTAAAACAGCGGCACTTCAGCCGGTCTGCATCACCTCAGCGGCCTCCCCTTCCCTGGTGCACTTTTTACAACTGGGCCATCCCAAGCATATTTCTTGGGACCCGTCAGGGCCTTGGCATTTCTGCGCTGTGCAACTGCAATCCCCAAACAAAGCCTTCATTTCCATGTCTAAGACCACTGAGTGCTCCATTCCTCTCCACCTTGGACTGAACCTCTCGACTCCTGACTGCACTACTTGCTATTTTCACCAGGTTGTTCCAGAGACAGCTCAGAGTCTATGATCCTTATGCCCTACATAAGCAAAGGGAACCTCATTTGTGTAGCTGCCAAAGCCAAAAAACCCTGAACTGTCTGATTCCCATACAACAAACTCACCTATTCATTAGCCACTTCTGTTAGCTGTACTTCTGAAACATTTGATTGTATCCATTTCTTCTAGCCTCTGCCCCTACTGTGCTTAAGAACATTCTCACTGGCAACCCTGCCTTCACTCCTGCCTTGTTCTGAACCAATCTCAGGCAAGCAGATATGATGTGATCTCATCACTTCCCTGCATAAAAGCCTTCAGAGATATCCACCAATAAGAGAATAAAGTCAGGATTCTTTAGCCTGACTTCTGCCTCCAGGTCTGTGCACATCCTGTGCTAAAGCCTCTTGAACCTAAAGGACTCAGGCAAGATGGTGACTCTGTAAAGTTCAATATGAACTGATTCTCCTATAACCACACGTTAGCTTTCTGTTACTATAGTGATTTACTTCAGATAATCAACTTAAAAGGAGTAAAGGTTAATTTTGGCTCAGGGTTTCAAGTACAGTACATAGTTGGTTGGCCCTGTTGTTTTGTGCTTATGTCAGCAGAGTACATCAGGGCAGAGTGTGAGGTAGAAGAGGCCTATTAACTTTATGGCAGCCAGAAAGCAAAGGACAGGAAAGGGGTGAGGGTCCCATGACACAAGAGCACATCCCCCAGTGACCCAACTTCTCACTAAGCCCTACTAACTCCCAACAGCATCACCAACTGTTGACAAAGCCTTTAAACACACTGGCCCTTTGGGGACACTCAAATCAGATCAGTGATGGCAAACCTTTCAGAGATGAGTGCGCAAACTGCAACCCAAAACCTATTTATTGGCAAGTGGCAGCACTGCAGTTGAGGTTTTAGTTTAGAAAAAGCAACTCATACATTAACATCTTTTGTCTTAAAAACATAATAACACGTACCGTAGGTTCTCCACCACTGATCTAGACTATAGCAACCAGCATACATTTGTGTTGCATTTTAAATATGTACTTGTTTGTCTGCATTCTTCCTAAGATTATAAGCTCTGGGGGGGAAACAAAGTATCCTTTTTTTTTTTTCAGTGCCTTAAGTGGTACACGTTTTAAAATGTTCTAAAGAAGCAACTACAGTGATACCTCTGTTGTCGAACTCAATTCATTCCAAATTCACGTTCAAACACCAAAAAGTTTGAGAACTGAACTTTCCCGTAAGAAATAATGGAAAACCAAGTAATTTGTTCTGAGGCCCCAAAATTACACTTATAAATTAATTTTTCTAGGACTTTAATAAATTTTGCAATGATTTCTTTCTTTAACTCTATCATGGTTCTCAGTTTTTCTCTTAGCTTTACTGCTGGTATCACTAACTTTCTTTGGAGCCACAGTTACCATAATTTATGCAAATAAAGTGCAAAAAACAAAGCCCAATGACAAATATTTTAATGCATTAACACGAGCACTGTATGTTGCCGGGGTGAGAATGCTGCTCGGACTGAAGCGTCACCAATTTCTGTCTGCAGCAAGACATCACACATGACTCACTCAGCCTGTATAGGGTCCTTTCAAGTTGGATTTTTGGTTTGACTATCAAGCAAAGTTATGAATACTGAGCAGATTTTTTTCAAACTTTGCTGTTCGAGTAGTGGAAAGTTCAAGCTTGGAGCCGTTCAACAACTGAGGTATGTATCACTGTATTTTTCTCATTACAAACCTGCTGTATGAAACAAAACACTTAAAAAGCTACTTAGAAGAAAGCACGTGATTCTATCAGTAACATACACTAATAAATCTTTTTGGGTGAAAATGAGTTAACAGTAGGGCAGTTTAAGAAGACCTGCTTCAAAAAATAATACAGATGTTCTTAATTACCAAACCACTGCTCAGTAACATTCATCTGCAGTAGCTGATCCAATTAAGACACTGTAGTTAAAAAGTGCCAGAGCAACTGCACTGATACATATATATAGGTGGTTTTGTTGATTTTCTGCTTTAAAGGATATATATTTTATATTTCACATCTTGGCCCCTGGGATGGAAAGCTTCCTACCTTGCCTCAGGCTCTTTTTGGTTATATGCTAAATGCCAATGCTCTTTGTACTATCTCTTTGCTTTTTCTTTTGATTCTTGGTTTCTTCTATTGCCTATTTCCTATCATTCCTTTGCCATTTTTTGTTTTAAGCATTTAGAAAATACCATTTTTTGTTTTAAGCAATAGAAAATACCAACCGCAAACAAGCTTTATTTTTCCTAGTTCAAGGTTTTTTTCTAAGACTTCTGAGTTTCAGGCTGCCTACGGGCTATTCCTGGTTGAGGCAAGTGTTACCACTCTTGGAAGGGAAGCCTAGACTACTTCATTAGCTGAAGAGAGGAGCCTTTTTTTAACGTGGCAGGCACTGTCAGGTTAGCTGCTTCAAAGTATTTTCAGGAAAAAGTTTCAGTACCGTGTTTTCAAGAAAGATGTCAAAAAGCTAGGGATGTAGCTCAGTGTTAGAACCCATGCTTAGCATATACAGGTTGGATCTATATCAAAAACAAAACAAAAAGGTGGCAAATCGGTTAAGATATTTAAATCTCAGAACCCTTATCATAAACCAAGAGAGTCACTAATCTCAGGTCCCACTACAAAAGCTAGCTTAAGCCAGTGCACCTCACTCAAATAGTACTGTCCCTACAGAGGACAAAATAGAAGGCCCTAAAAACTTGGACAGCTGTCATGACAAATGCCAGAAGGGACAGGGAGAACAAAGGACAGGGCACCAGGCATTCACAGGGTCAGGTGGACTGAAGCTAGTGTTTCAAAGCCAGAGGATACTAAAGAGACCCCTACTTGAATACAGATGAAGTAAACAAAAGAGAACATACCACATTTAAGTTAGACCTTTTCTACCTTTTCAATGTCACCCACAAACATAATGGTCAATCTTTGAATGTGCCAAAAGTAACAAAGGATTTTAAAAAATCTGTTAGTCTTCCTTTACAGCGCAGAAACCTCAAAAAATCCTTTTAAATGTATTTCATCAAAAAATCTTATTTAATGATTTAGTAAATCCCATGATTTAAAGCCTTCTAGATAATTTCTGAACTGCTCAGATGGTGAAGAGCACACCTTCAGCCCTCAGCATGTCTCAAGTGGTGCTGTCTCTCATCTCCAGTAGTGCGTTTTCTGTCAAGAAATTTATTAGCCATTACAAACACTATTTTCACTCAATCATTCATAAAAAAATGATTTATGATTAAATCTGTAATAAAACCATATAACATTCACCAATGCATTCAGTAAGACCATTTTCATCCATGGAACATAATAAACCACTTTAAAACAGCAGTTTTCATTCATGTCATGTAAGGCTTTCAAACTAAAAGTATTCTTTTTAATGAGTTGTCATCCAAGAAATCCATTTCACTTCACGTTATGTGTTGAGACTGATGGTTATATCCTCTAAGAGTGGAACCTGAAAGTAGATTCTACCTCTTTGTGGTCACGTTTTCAGTCTCTCAAACAAGTTTCACAACTGGGAAATATTTGTGAACAGAGAAATCAAATTCCGGAGGAATCTGTAAAGAAAATCAGAAAGTCAATTATTGTATCTACAAGTAATCACACAACAGAATAAGCACTATTTTTTTTTAAAGTTTTCTGTGTTTTTAGAAACAAAGCAGCACAAAACAGATTTAAAAGCTGGTTTAGCTGGGTGTGGTGGTGCATGCCTATAATCCCAGCACTTGAGAGGCTGAGGCAGGAGGATCACCAAGAGATAGAAGCCTGCCTGCACTACATACAAAATAAAAACAAAAACAAAAAAAGCTGATTTAATGCTAAGAAAAAGTCAAGAACTAATCTGGAGAAAAAAGTGATCAACTTATTTCTGGGCTTACAAAGGTTGTCAGAAAACACACCGACTTCCAGAGAACAGTTAAAGGAAAATGGACTTAAATTATAGGATAAAGCTCAAGTTAGGTCAGGGGACAGCAAATTTATTCAGTTGAGTCAGTTAATAAAATGAAACTCAGTAAAGGAGAGCAGGAGAGAAGCCAGAAAGACAACAGAAAAACAATGGGAGTAAACAAACAGTCCTAGACGTAATGGCAGAGTGCTTCACTGGCTGGCCTCCTCTGCAAGACAGGACTTGCTCACTAGCTAACAGGCTGCTGTTACCCTGATGACAGAACATGACCCAGGAGACCCTAAACATTCTCCCATCTTCTGAGCCAATATAAAAGGAGGTTTTAATTATTAAGGGATTCAACTTCCCAAAGTTAGGTGACTGTTAAATACCTCAAAGTCCTCCCATTAATTTGTTCTTGCACCTTTTATTTTTCTCCCCAAATTGGGGCCCATAGAAATTTTAAGTCACAAAATACATGTCTCATGGTAAAATGGCAAGTTTTATTTCTGCTGGTAAATCTTCTTCAGGATGATTTTTGTTCAGGGTTTTAATTTTTTATGCATCTCATTAAAAATTTTAAATAATTTCCCAACAATGTACTTACCTTGGACTCCTTTTTGTGTCCTCCTGCCAGTAACTTCATAACCACAAAATTGGGTTTGGCAACCTTTAAAATTCTATTCACCTAAAACACGAACATTAAATTATCATAACAGGGGCCAGTGATTTAGCTCAGTGGTTCCACCAACTGCCTCACAAGAGCAAGGTCCCCAGTTCGATCTCCAGTACCAAAAAAAAAAAAAATTATCGTAACAGAAAATTCATAGTCAAATTTTCTTTATATTACAGAAACAAATGGGAACTTGGCATAATGGAAGTGCTAACATTTAAAATAATAAGCACCTTCTAACACAACTCTACTTCAGTCAGCTCTGACTCTGAAAGAGCTACTGTGTCTTGCTCTCATGTCAGGCAGCAGAGGGCAGCACTCAGAGCACCAACACTGGAATTAGGCTTTGCCAACGACTGAACCCTCCAGAAAGTTCTCTAAACCTTTCTGGTCCTCAGTGTCTTCATCCTTAGAAATGAAGGTTAACTTTCCTCACTCCACAAAACATTGCTGAGAGTGACGTTCTGGTCAATGGCAAACCAAGGAATGTGTACAACAGTGGTTCCAAGAGACACCACCGGGAGCTGTTTTAGTTTGTGTAAATGGGCACAGAGCAGCAGCTTTGCCTACAATACATTTCTCAACACACAACCTTGTCCTTAAGTGGTGTATGACTGCAGTAAGAGCTGAGAATCATGTCTACAGGTACTAGTGTTCCTTGACTACTGATACTTTTGAGTACCACTTATCTAAAAGGTTTCCTTAAACACATGAATAGCAATGGAATGGAATGCCGGATTCCTCCCAGACAGCAATCCAGGAAGTCCCCACTGCTGCCTCCTTACCGAAATCTCTGGAATCACAAGCTCAGGACCAGTTCCTTCTCAACTCCAGATAGACACCCACCTGCCTACATAACAGCTCCACTTACACATCTAATGGGCATGTCCAAAACTGCCTAGCCACCTGGCTCCTGCTCCACTGGCATCCTTGCCTACATGAATCAACCCATCCAGCTGCATAGGCCAAAAATCTTCAAGTCCTCCTCGACTCCTCTCTTTCACTAACATCCCACATCTAATCCACCAATAGCCCCAATGGCTGGATCTTAAAATACAGAGAGAGAGCAATCATTTTGGATTCCCTCCACTGCCACATCTCTCACCTGGATTACTGCCATGGTCTACTCCAGGACTGACTCACTGGATGCTACCTTTTATCCTACTTCAATCTATTTTCAGCACAGGGCCAGAGTGATCCTTTAAAACCTCCTCTGCATAAACCCTCACATAGCACATCTGCTTGTTCCTGGCTCCAGTCATACCTGTTCTCAAATGCTCTAGAAAACTCCCGCCTCCTATCTTTCTGCACACAGATTCCTCTCCCTACAAGGCTCAAGCCCCAGACTTTCAGAGGATGTGTTTCTTTGCCTTCTAGGAGTTTCTCAAAGGTCTTCGTATTTAAAAATGCTGATGGCTTTGGGCTTTAGCCAATAGTAGAGCACTTGCAAAGTCATGGCTTCCATATCCAGCACCACCACAACAAAACAAAACAAGCTCTACTCTCTGTGCTTCCAGTAGCATTTCTAATTCCCAACTTCAGACTGATTTTTCTTTAAATCATTATGCCCTTATAATATATGACATAATTTACTTGTTTGCTGTCTGTAGTCCAGCACCCCTTCCTCATCCCTCATAAAGGTTAGGACTTTAGTCTGTTTATTTTCTGCTGGAGATATACTAGGTGCTCAATAAATCTTTATTAAATAAATGAAGTTCCAATAAGTAAAATATGTCATCTATGATGGGTACCTCCCTCAAATTTATACTACCATTTCACTTAGTGGGTGAAAAATGTGTTTTTTAAAAAAGTCTCACTCCTATCTCCAAGACACCCAGCTCTTTTCCCACGAAGCAAACACTTTATCAATAATCATGCATCTTTCCAGAGGTACACACTCATATAAGAACACACCTGCACACACGGTCTGCTTTGAACCACTTTGACTGAAATGGCAGTACACTAAACACACTATACGGTACCTTTTTAAACTTTTAAGTCCTGAAGAACATTCCACTATGGTACAGTACATAAAGATCTTCCTCGTCCTAATAACTGCATAGCAACTCACTGAAGGATGCATCACAATGTACTCAGCAGATCTCTGCAAATGAACGCTAAGTGTCTCTCATTTTTTGCCACTAGAAATCCTGCTGTAGTGATTATATCTGTATTCACATTTCCCTCACTTCCTATACATGCATATGGATCTAGAACATAAAGCCCAAGACACAGCACTACTGAGTCTAAGCATCTGTGGTTTTTGACAGATACTGGTACATTACCCTTTCATGGAAGTGGTATCAAGACATACTCCCCAAAATGGCATATATGTGTTATAGGCAATTCCTATTTGTACAGAAACTATGTCTCAATAAATAATCTTAGGGATTATAGCAAATTATTAAAATATCAAAAGCTATTTTCAAAGATCATTTGGGTATCTCAAAGTCTTTAAAAGCAACAGTCAAGTGGAAAATGTTCCTGTGTTAACTGGCCATATTATTTTTCAGAATTAGCACTTAAGATTAGATTGGCCCAGCTATTTGAGACCCTTGAAAAAAACACAACAGGCTCTGCTTACTAACACTATAAAGTTCATTACTGTAACTGTCTTTTATCTAGTAGTAAGATGTTTCCTGTCCCCTAGAATTATAACATAATGAATCCAGTCTTACCTCTTGGTCTGGGTTGGGGATATTTTCCAATATCATTTTTGCCTGTTGAAAGTGCTTACTAGCTGCCACATACAGTTCTGGAGACTGAGGAGGTGGGCTATATTTATTGAGGTCAGACATTTCCTAAAAAGAAGTAGGAACATTATTCAAAATATGTTTAATGTGAAAAATTCTTTTTTAATTCTTACAGAAATCTACACTATCCATTCATATAGATACTGAAGCAAACATTCAGCACATCTCCCTATTTTTCCCTACATAATATTCAATTCTCAACCCTTATATACCATCTCATAATCTCATTACTTAAGTAACTGCGACTAGCTAGTACATCCATCAAAGCAAGTATTTTCCACACTAGTTAAAGTTGCTATTTTTACCACCTGTCCCAGTCATTCTGACTACATATTTTAACAAGATGGCTAGGTACAAACAGCACATTTCTACGAAGGTGTAAGACTAAAGATCATACAATGACCTCAGTGCGCAGGTTCACCTTGAACTGTAGGTAGTGCACTGGTGGCGGGGTCATCACACTGTTGAAGGGAGCAAATCTGTGCTCATATCGAACTTGTTCACTGTCAAGCTCAAACTTGGGTTTGCGTACTTTGCCATCCATGTCAAATGCTACCATGGTCTAAAGAAAAAGGAAATGCAGAAACAGAAAAAAGCAACAAGAAAACATTAATACAGAACAGAAAACAAAAACCCAGCTATGTATGTATAGTTAAAACAATTTATGGCTCAGCAATCAGAAACAAGAAGAGATAAACTGACTTCTTGGTATTCATTTTTGTGTGCTATGTTTTACACAAAAAATTCTCAAGCTCCAGCACTCAATGTATTACTGTTTTTCCCAGGGATGGTAAAGGATGTACACATTTTTCTTCCAAGCCTCATGCTTTTACAACACCTTTGAAACCTTCAAGTAAATGCTTCTGAGGAACAACTAGCATATTCAAACAGGTCTTGTTTTTCAAATATCCTCTTTTGCTTCATACATCTTAACATAACCTGCTTTAAATCATTTCTTGGACTGCCAAGTACAACTTAAGTTAATCCTCAGTCCCTGCCGGAAATGCCTGTGGAGCCTCATATACTCCTAAAAAACTCCAAGTCCTCCCTTCATGAAACTGTTCCTGGTCATCAGTAAGAAATAAGCTCTTCTCTTCAACCTGTGCCACACATTTGTCAGCTGCCCATCCGGCATTAACTAGGCCTGTGTGAAGCAAAGACCAACTGACACAGTGTGTGACTCATGGTAAAGGGTCAAATGCTTGCTGGAAACAACTAGACCTGAAAAAAGTAACCTTCCAGTAACGTGGGAAATAAAAATGAAATAACCTGGAAAGAATCATGAAAAGAGTTCATTTAAAATAAACTTTAGGGCTGGGGATTTAGCTAGTGGTTTCACTGCCTGCTGGGCAAGCACAAGGACCCGAGTTCGATCCCCCGTATCAAAATAATAAATAAATAAACAAATAAACAAACAAACTTTAAGAATTCAACAACTTACTTTAAACATTCCAGCACACATGTTCTGATATGCTTGGCTCATTGTGATCTCCCGGCTCAATGGGCGAACTGTAAGAGAGAGAAAATCTTCTTTACTCTTTTTTCCCCCGGCTTCCTGAATTATCACAAGAGAAAAATTTTTAAAAATCTTCCAGCTTGTTTACTAAATGTACATACACTTCAGTTTGCCCCTAAAGCTAAAATTTATCTTGTGACCAAAATCTACAAATAATGAAATACAACTGAAAAAGCTAAATGATTGTGTAAAATAACTAATGCTCTAAAATTCAAATAGGAAGTTTTAAACTTTCTAAATTTACTTTACAGGGACTCAACCCATGAATACAGTTATTTACTAATCTATCCAATCTGCCTATTTATCTTAAGGAAACAGCACACAGTGTTTGCAAATGACATAGCGATATCGATACTATCCCTGAGGGAGCAGACATTTCTCTTGTCATGGGTCTTGGACCCTGAGTCAAGGAGCTCTATGGGTCCCGGTCCCGCACCCAGTGTAACAGCACAGCTCCAGACCAAATCAAGAGCCTGCTGAACCCCCGGCCGACTCCTGTTGTTTTGTTCTCTAACCTATCTTGCTTCATGTGGCTAATTCTTGATCTAAGATCCTCTGATACACAGAACAGCAAAGAAAGGAACCAGAAACACTTCTATTACTAACCCAGGACTCAATTTCTGAAGGGATGATGGATGAAAACTAAACTATAACGACTAACTCATCCATTACAACTCACAAGGAACTCTCTTAACGATTTGTCAAAAGTAAAATACACTCATATTTTTTATTTCTCAAGTTTAAGAACAGTCCACAGCACCTTTCTTTTTTTTCTTTGTTTTTTTACTGCTCCGGCCTTTCTGCTGTTCTTCCATTATCCTTTCCTCTGCCATTTGAGAACCATCAGCACGACTCAATGTGGACATCAACCATGCATAAAGGAATTCAGAGAGATACCTTAAAGGATATAGAAGGTTAATCGAGCTAAGTAACACAGCTTTATCAACATATGTGTTAATAGTATTTTCTTTAGTTTAGTTTCATATGAAGAACTGAAACAAAGGACTCACTCCCCCTAATCCCCCCCTCTACCACTGAGCTCACACCTTGAGCCACAAATGGATACATTTCACAAGGCTTTAAGCACTTAAAAAAGATCACCCAATTGGGTAACAGATTAGGTCTTTTAAGAAATGAAGCATTAAAAGTGACTATCTTGCCAGGGATTTAGCTCAGTGGTTTCACAACCTGCTGTGCAAGTGCAATGACCCGAGTTTGATCCCCAGTACCAAAAAAAACAAAACAAAACAAAAACAAAGTGACTATCTTTTTCTTTCTACATTTTACAACTTTTCAAGACTTGATAGTTACATACATATATGAAAGTCAAACAACTGCCCATTAAATTGTTTTTTAATAACAGGACATATTTCACTTTGGTCAATTAATATTTTCTTTGCCTATTAATCACAATATAAGTAAAGTGGAGCAAATAAATTCAGAAAATAACCAAAAAAATATAGCATTATTCAAAACCATTCTAAAAAATTAAAAACATTCAGGCTTGTAATTTACTTGTTTATTCAATAAATAAAAAACATAAAGGAATATTCTACTGGATGCTTAACTTTTTCAGAAATTAAAACTAATTAACTACTAACCCAGAAAAGTAGTTCAAATCTAAGATATCAATATATGTATCTTTTTTAATGTAATCCGTAATAAAATTAGGGACCACTACTTGTACTAAAAAGAAAAGGTTTGCAAGACATTTTATGATTAAGTTTGAATATATAATGCCTCATTCCCAGATTTCCCAGAAAAATGTATGATAGGCTATAATATAAAACACATTATAAAATATTTTGAAGCAAGTCAAAAACTATTCAAAGACATACAGTATTCAGACTGAACTGATGCCAAACCAAGCACTATGATTCCTTGCAGGTAAGGCAAAAAGGGAAATATATTTTTATCTAGTCAAAGAAAAGCATATAACTTCATATGGAGAGAAAATAACTCCTGGTATCGAATTTAGGAAAAGTATTTATTACAATATTATTTTACAAGATACAAATGAACTTTTTCTCCACCACAGTATGAAATCTGAGGCTCTATAACCTGTATCTTAACTTGAGGAAAGATTTCTATTGGGAAATAATAGTGCCTGTCTTCAGATATCCTAACTTAAGCACAAATGCATGAAGAGTTAGCTGATAGGATTCAAGTCTTTCCTCTCAAATCAATGAGCTTTAATCAAGTGTTTTATCAAAGTGAAGACACAATCCAATCTAAGCAGAGTTAGAATTCTGATATTCTGAATTACTGATTCTCAAATGTCATCTCTGGGCCAGTGGCAGTATTCTCTGGCAACTAGTTAAAAAGGTAATGGCTGGGTCCCACCCTAGACCTCCTGATCCAGGGACTGTAGGGACTGAGCCCAGCAAGTGATTATGACATATGTTAATGTTTGAGGATCACACACAAAAAACCCAAAAGATTATTTTGGGAAAATGTAAGTGTCCACTCTGTAATTTTAAAACCAAAAAGCAGTTGAGAATATGAAGGTTACAAGAGTGTTTATAGGGAAGAATTAAAATTTCTTTCATTAGCAAGACATCAAAATGCTCATGTACGTAGCTAAAACTGTAATAGAGTATCTATCAATCATTTGCTAGTTTAAGATCTTAATTCCATGCACAAAGAAGGATAAGAAAATTGTATTTGGATCGGAGAAGTGGAGAGAAAAAGCTTGCAATTAGCTCCTTCAACTCATAAAGAACTCTTGCCATGTTCTCATTAAAAAAAAAAAAAATCATCAGGAATATATACTACAGGCTAATAACAAAATGTATCCCCAGTTGGGCCGGGGATTTAGCTCAGTGGTTCTGGCGCTTGCCTCACAAGCATAAGGACCTGAGTTTGACCCCCGGTACCAAAAAAAAAAAGTATCCCCAATAGTTATATAAACAACCACCCAGTAACAGTCATTTGGCATTATCTTTATAAATGCTGAAAAATACACAAATAAATATTCTCATATTACTATAGTCACTGCTCAAATACAAATTTTCCTAAGATTTATCTGTTAAAAGCTCTTGAGGCTTTGTTCACGATGAAAAAAAAAGTCAAAAAGCTGGGCGTGGTGGCACAGGCCTGTAATCCCAGAACATGAAGGCAGAGGCAGGAGGACTGAGTTTGAATTTGAGGCCAGCCAGGGCTACATAGTGAGTTCAAGACCAGCCTAGACTACACAACAAGACTCTGTCTTAAAAAAAAGATGTCAACAGAAAATTACTTTTTTCCTCTGAGTAATGACTCCACAGAATATGTATTTTAAGTTCAACTTCAATGAGCTTAAAAGGCAAACTACTGAATTCTAATATACCAAATTTAGGTGTGACGGAGAACATAGGTCATCAATTAGTTTAAAATTGCCTTCATCCTTTGCTACTTGCCACTCTAAGAAAGATATCTCATTCACCAGTGAAAGGGAAGAACCATTCCACTGAAGAGCATCTTTCACTGACTTCCCAAAGTACTGAAGCAAAGCCTTGGGGCCAAGGCTGAACCAGTTCCTCTTGCAGTGATTACCCTGGCTGTGACTTCTTCTAAGGCGAAGGGAAGATCTGTCTTCAATCTGAACTTTCAGTCTGTCACATACATACATCTACTAACTAGTGCCACTGAAGTCAGAGCAAAATGTGTTCCTTTTAAGTCTTGTTTTCTGCACTGGTCAGACTGGCCTGGAATTCATGAGGCTCCCCACCTCAGCCTTTCAAGCATTTGGGATTACAAGCATGTACCATCACACCCACCTTGTAAAATGTGTTAATTTCTCTCCATAGACGCCACAGAAGATCTCCAATTAAACCATATTTTTCGAGCCTCTTTAGTTATTTTTACATAAATATTCAAATGGCTGGGAAAACGTGTACTGTGTTATGAAAGTAAAGATGTTCACGTCGACCTAGCTCTAATTTTCAACAGCTACTTTCCCAAATGTTCCACAACTAAAGCAAAAATACACTAAATGAAAAAGTATCCTGAAATTAAGTTTATTTCACAGACACTCTCAGATCTTAGCCACTTCACAGACCTTCAATTTTAACTAAGTGTTCTCTTACCAGTATATGTAGTAATACTCATGCATGCTGTAGAGTTCCAATTCAAAGCCACTTAGAAGATACTGTATCATGATTCGAAGGCTGTGATAAAGAACCCATGTCCCTAAACAGGCCAAATGTTGCCTTTGGGGTTCTTGTTTCAACAGCATAGTGTGAAGCGCTGCATCAACTTTCTCTGCCTATGAAAAATAAAATGTAACACTGACTTCCTTTTATGTAGTAGAGAATTTAAAAATACGAACAGAAAAGCTGGTTGTGGTGGGATCCACCTATAATTCTAGCATCCTGGGAGGCTGAGGGAAGTCCACAAGTTCAAGTCCACCCCAGGCAACTTTGTGACTCAGTGAGACCCTGTCTCTAAACAAAAAATAAAAAGGGTTGGGATGTAGCTCAGTGTGAAGGCCCTTAGTTCAATCCCCAGTATCACCACCACCATCACCACCACCACCACCACCACCAAAAGTAAAAACAAAAACAGAAAAAGGGCAGAAAATTTAAATCTCATCCCTAAAGGAAGCAAATGTGTACTTTCAAATGCATTTTATTAGGTTTGCATTCAAAGATCTCATTTAATAACAGTTAATAACTTTCTAAACACTCCTTGTAGTAAAAAGACATCTATTTAAAATATATATATATATATATAACTAACTAAAGGTCTTTAGTTAAATTATCACTTAATATTGCTGGTGCTGTTAACAAATTAACTTTAAAATGAATATGTTTTATTACAATGTAAACTTGCTATAAAACTACAGTTATAAACACATTTCATATTTTATCCTGATTATCAAAGAAATTACTTAAGATATGTATTAGTTTGGATTATTCTTCTGTTTTTCTCATAAACATTTCTTTGGTATGTGAAACCATTAAATTTTAAGTGAAAATCAAGCTCATCATAATGAAAAATAAAATATTCAAAGTACTGTTCCAAAGAATTGTTTTTAAAAATCTAGACAGTGTGCGAATTGTTTAATTTTAGAAAAAAAGGAACTTGGCTCTTACCTCATCCTGCAAGGTAGCAAACTCCTCCAAAATATGCCCAAGCTTATCTCTCTGCCGAGCTCTGTTATGTCCATGGATCTGAATAAGACTACAAAATGGCTGGAATACACATACAATTTGCTCACCATCAATGTGAAAATTTACTTAAAGAACAACATTCCAAATTCTCAAAATCTGGTTTAATGGAGAAGATGCTGCATATGTTAAGAATCATGCCTATGTAGTTTTGCTTTTTATAAAAAAACAAATGTTAAGTTTTTCAGGAACTCAACACCAGAATTTATCAGCAACTAGAAAAAAGTGGCTGCTTGTTAAATTTGTTTTCATACAGCAAACAAATCTTCCTTCAATCTTTAGATATCTTCCTGCAATTTCGAGAGGACAACGTCTTTTCTCTTTGTTTTAAGCTAAAAATTAATGTTCAAGGCTGGTGTTTTTGTGCTACTTTAAATATTCCAGAATGCCTAACAATTATTCGGTTTGAGTTATGGCTAAGACCTTTAAATCCTGATTATGACTAAGGTTCATTTATTACTATTTTCCTATATAGTGTTCTCATAAAATACAGTAACATTTCATTAATTAAATAATACACATGAATGGCAGGATGCTTTAAGAAGTATAAATAACATCCTTAGAGTATAATACTGTTGTCTATTTTTATAACTTGATAGATATTATCTCATTTGGTCAATAACTACCCTAAAAAGGCACAGAAGAGGTATAGGTCCAGCATCTCTTATTTTTCAGAAAACTCAAAATTGAAATGCTCCAAAATCCTACACTTTTTACATGCTAATATTATACTCAAAAAGTTTGAGATTTTGGAGTATTTTGGATTTTGAGTTTTTGGATTAAGGATGCTTAACCCATAGAATTTATACAAAAATTATAAAATCTGAAACACTTTTGGTTCTAGGCATTTCAGATAAGGGACCCTCAACTTGGATAGCATCTCACTCTAAAGAGGGCTCAGAGTACAGAAAGGTAAAGCAGTGAACTGATGTAAAGTGTCAGTGATAAGAACACAATGAAGGCTGAGAGAGGGCGCCCGCCTCAAATCCCAGCACTCTGAGGTCTGAGGCAGGAGAATAACAAGTCTGAGCCCAGCCATGGCTTGAAATAATTACAACTGAGATTAATTAAAAATTAACAAAGAAAAGAAAAAAAGGAGAAACCAGGTCTTCTGATTCTCCTTCTTCCACATTATACTCAAGGGCTAGGAGACACAAGTTTTTCATTTATTCACTGTGAATGAGAAAGAGTTGATGAAAAAGCATAAATTAATGATACTGAAGGAATTGCACCCCATAATTTTCAAAGCATCTATCATAACATTCCAAATTATAGTTCTTACCCGAACACAGTGAGTAACAAATGAGTCAATACAGTCCTTAGCCTGGTGATTATTATACAGGCAGCACCTGTAAGACAGGAATCACTTCATTAAAGTCAAACTATTAGGTCTAGACAAAAGAAGCAAAAGGAACCAAACATATTACTAAGTTGAAGAATGACAGAATCAGATTAAGAAATATTTCATATTGCTGTGCTGTTCACATCCATTAAGTGGGTAATTATTTCCACTCCTTTAGTTCTATACGTGGACAATTCAAGTTGGGTCTAGTAAGATCACACAAGCAAGGGAAAAGGAAAATCCAGTAAGAAATATTTCACTATTGCTGTGTTGTCCACATCCATTAAGTGGGTGATTATTTTTATTCCTTTAGTTCTACAATTGGACAATTTGAGTTCAGTCTAGTAAGATCACACAAGCAAGAAAAAAAGGGAAATCCAAAGCTCCTGCCTTTCAGGACCCTCCTCCAGTCTGATAACCTCATGGATGATGCTCCCAGGAATAACTACAAAGGAAATACTACAGAGAATCCTTTCAAGAATGTATCCCCATTTCCAGCCATTTGCTATCCCATTATCAGTACACTCCTCTCAGACTGCATTTTCTGACCTTACAAACTGGTCTTGCAGTGTTCCTTATTTAAGTCAACAGCATTTTTCCCCCAGTGCTAGGAATCAGTCATGGCCTCATACATGCGAGGCAAGTGCTCTACCACTAAGCTATGCTCACATCCCTTTCAAAAAATTTTTATTTTGAGGCAGGATCTCTCCAAGTTGTCCAAGCTGGTCTCAAATTTTGGTATATGACCCTTCTGCCTCAGCCTCCCAAGTAAGTGGGATTACAGGCATCTACCACTTCTTGACAAGCGTTTCCCGAGCATTCAAGACCTGCTTCCTGGCCCTAGGGGAGCTATAGGGACCAGGTACAGTAGATATGAAACTTGTGGTTGTTATTTTTTTAAATATCTGTGGAGATCACAAGGATTTTTTAAAAAGCTGAGGAGACTTCCTCCTGATGCCTCAACAGGAGCTGATAATTTGCTACTCAGAAGAGTTTACCAAAAGCTAGTAAGCTGGAAAGAGCTACAAAGATAAACAGAGCTACAATCATGCAATGGAAATGAATAATACACCCAGCAATCCAGAAAAAAGCAGAAACTCTGCAACAAGGAGTTGGTGAAATAAAAATTGCTAAAAGAGTTTTTATATCTTTTTAACATCAAAGTACAAAAATAACATAAGACTAAAACATACTACTTAAAAAAAACCTTCTGGATCTAAAAATAATTATTTTCAAACTTTATAAATTCAATAGATGAAAAATGTTCACTTTAAGCTTTAAGAAAAAGAACACCCTCACAACACAGAGATAAATGCTATGAGGACCACAAGGGATCTAGAAGACCGAAAATACCAAATGTTCTTTAAAAAAAAGGAAAAAACCAAACACGTGAAGGTGAGGCAATAGTTAAATTAGTAATGAATGATATGATTTGAAGAGCTAATAGTTTACTGAGCTCCAAACTGGTCATGTACTTAACCACACAATAAGTATTAAACAGCAGACTTCATGTGCAAGGCTCACCATCACTGGGTAAAATCAGAAGTAAGCAACAAAAACTTATCCAAATATCTTTACTTGAAACAGGTATTTTAACAAATTACCTTTGAATTTTAAGAAAAGAATGAATGAATGAAAGAGTTACAATATCCTTAAAAAGCAATATAAAGAACCCTTTCAAATGAAATCTAAGCATACAGCTAAACTATCAACAAAATGAACATCCTTCAATATCTCAATATTTAAAAAACTGTTTTGAATAAAGATGTAAAAAGTAACAATGACAACAACCCTTACTCCAAAAAGTAAAATTCAAAGAGTTCCATTTATGATCAAGCTTGCTACAAACACTGAATGTTGCTGTTCAGCTGTTTTAGAGACTAGAAAGAAAACAAAATGAAATAACTAATGTAAATATTGGAAAATAAAAGTATCTCTTTGAGAAAGAGATTCCAATAATCATAACAGCAACAACAGCAGTAAGAAAACACAAAAGAAGGGATGGGGATGTAGCTCAGTGGCATCACACCTGCCCGGCAAGCGCAAGGTCCTGAGTTCCATCCCCAATATGGACACACACACACACACACACACACACGCATGAAAAATTTCTAAAAACTGAGGAATACATTTACCAGGAAATATACACAATACATATGAACAAATGTAAGACAAACTAGCAGTCTGTACTTTGATTACAGAATTTAACAGCATAAAAATGAGAAGTCTTAAAATTATTATTTAATTCTAATGAGAATTTTAGTCTTTAAAAATATCCATAAAATTGTCTTAGCATTAATGCAAAAGTAGCAAAAGAGAATCAAGAAAGTCCTGGAAAACAACAGTACAGAAGGCTGTGTGTCTCAATAAAACTTAATAAAAAGTCATACAACATTTTAAGTATCATCGGAACTGAGGTAAATCCCAAAACATAAATTTTTAAGTAAAATAAAGGCATCACTTTAATTCAGTGGGAAAATGATGATTTCTATTTCACCCAAAGGACTATCTAGCATGAAATAAAGTTAATTTCACTTACAAAAAAAAATTTTAGGATTAAACTCTAGTGAAACCACAAAATTTTTTGGCACATTTTAGTGGCAAAAGAGATAACCTATAGGTAGGAAAGAATTATTTGCCTCAACAACAAAAAGAAAAGAGACAAAAATTACCATACAGAAAGAAAAACTTTCAACTGGGCATGGTACACTCATCTGTGATCCCAGCACTCCAGGAAGCTGAGGCAGGAGGACAAATTCAAGCCCAGTATGGCAATTTAGCAAGATCCTGCCTCAAAATAAGTAAAGGAAAATAAAAAGGGCTGGGGATGAATTCAGGCTAGGCGAAGGCCCTGAGTTCAATCCTTGGCATTATAAAATAAGGTTTTGATTGTAGCAAAACACAAACTAAGGAAAAATGTATCTGCAATGTCTAACAGACACAAAGAATTAATTTCCTGTAATATACATGGAGCTCTTACAAACTTGCAGAAAAAATAAATGGCTTAATAAAAATCAATGGGCAAGCCAGGCATGGTGGCACATGTCTATACCCCCAGCACTCGAGGAGGCTAAACAGGATTACAAGTTCAAGCCCAGCCTGAGCAATTTAGCAAGACCTTGCCTCAAAATAAAAAATAAAAAGGACCAAGATGTAGCTCAGTGTGAAAGTCCTGGGTTCAATCTCCAGTACTGCCCCCCAAAAGGAAAAACATTTCAATGGTCAAAAGATATATGTAAGTAACTCACAGAAAAACAACTACAACTGTCCAATAAAAAACTGCATTTAAGTGCTAAAATTAAAATGAGTTATCACTGCCCTCAAAACATGCTGGTCACAGGACGTATGTAAAGTGTACTCTTCTAAAACTACACAGGCCCCTTTAGCCAGTAACCACATTCTTTACAACACATTTGTATTATGAAATATTTGGCAACCATTCAAAAAGTCAGATCTGTATCAGGTAATTTGGGACATAAAGCCTGATACGTATCTTTTAAGTAGAAAAGATAATTTTTTTTAAATAAGTTTTTTTTTATACTGCGTGGGTGGCACAAGCCTATAACCCCAACACTCTGGGAACCTGAGGCAGGAGGGTCACAAGTTCAAGCTCAGCCCAGGAAATTTAGTGAGCCCATCTCAAAAACAAAAAATAAAGGACTGAGGAGGTAGCTCAGTGCAAAAGCACCTAATTTTCAAGCAGAACTATCATATTTTTATAATCGGCTCAAACCAGGCACGGTGGTGAACACGTGTAAAACAAGCACTTGGGAGGCTGAGGCAGGAGGACCGCTCTGAGTTTGAGGCCAGCATGAACTACATAGTGAGACTCTATCTAAAAAAAAAGAAAGAAAAATTGGCCTTTTAAAATATGTTAGTTACCCCTTCCCTTTCCCTACTGAATCATGTTACTTTCTATTAATCTGATCTCTGAATCTTTCTCATATCTGTCCTCTTCTTTACATTCCTAGAGTTTAATCCTTCATCATTTCTCACCTATATAAACAAATCAACCTACTTTATTTGCACTGTCACTCCTTCCCATTACCTGTTTCTTCCAGTTAAAAAACAATCATGCCAATTCCCTACTAACACCTTGAATAGTTCTCATTGACAACCAAATAAACACCAAACCACACTATAGCATTCCAGACTCACCAGTCTCATCCTAAACTGACAGCCTACACCCCATTCATTTGCTCAAGAATTATTCATTGTGCTTTCTGTTATGACACAAAGCACTCGAGCATGCATGACACATAAGTCACAGAACTTGGTTACTGTGACACAACAGCCAAAAGTTAATGACCTAGGTTCATAAGTTTATATTCTAATTGGGGGAATGGGGAGAGAGGGAGAGAGAAAAAAACAAACATAAGAAGTACATTACACAGTATGTAAAAAAAGAAAATTCATTTTGGAAAAAAGAAATGGAAGCAGACTCATTGAGACAGAAATTTGGGAAACAATCCCTTTTACAATAGCATCCAAAAAAATGAAATATCTAGGAATCAAACTAACAAAGGAAGCAAAAGACCTCTACAATGAAAACTACAGCATTCTGAAAAAGGAGATCAAAGAGGATATAAGGAAATGGGAAGACATCCTTGTTCCTGGGTAGGAAGAACCAATATAGTGGAAATGGCCATACTTCCAAAACTACTATATAGATTTAATGCAATGCTGATTGAAATTCCAACAATATACTTCACAGAACTAGACAAAACAATCCAAAAATTCATCTGGAAGCAGAAGAGACCTAGAATAGCAAAAGCAATTCTAGCCAACAGAGACATGGCTGGGGGTATCACAATACCCAACTTGAAACTATTCTACAAAGCTACTGTGATAAAAACAGCATGGTACGGGCAAAGAAACAGACCCGAGGATCAGTGGAATAGATTAGAAGATGCAGAAACAACTTCAGCTGCACTCAGCCTTCTCATATTCAACAAAGGAGCCAACCACCCTCATTGGAGGAAAGATAGCCTATTTAATAAATGGTGTTGGAAAAACTGGATTTCAACCTGCCAAAGATTAAAACTAGGCCCATACCTATCACCATGCACTAAACTAAGATCTAAGTGGATTAAACATCTAAATATTAAGACAGAAACACTAAACTTGCTGGAAGGTAAGTTAGGTAGAACTCTTGAAGACATTGGCATAGGAAAAGACTTTATGAACAAAACCTCAGTAGCATGGGAACTAGCACAAAGAATCAACAACTGGGATCTTATCTTATTAAAAAGCTTCTGCACTTCAAGAGAAACCACCAACAGAACTAAGAGACAACCTACAATCTGGGAAGAAATTTTTAGCAGCTGTGCCTCACACAAAAGTATACTATCTTGAATCTAAAAAGAGCTGAAAAAAATCAGACCCCCCAATTCAAAGACCCAATTCAAAAATGGGCATCTGAAATGAACAGACATTTCTCAGACAAAGAAGTAGAAATAGAAAATAAACGTACAAAAAAAAATGTTCAACATCACTGGTCATTCAAGAGATGCAAATGAAAACAACACTGAGATTCCACCTCACCCCAGAAAGAATGGCTGCTATTAAGAAATCAACCAATAACAAATGCTGGCAGGGTTGTCGGGAGAAAGGAACCCTTCTCCATTGTTGGTGGGAGTGCAGACTGGTGCAACCACTGTGGAAATCTGTATGGAGATACCTCAAAGAACTACGACTAGAGGTCCCATTTGACCCAGCTATTCCCCTGCTGAGTATCTTCCAAAAAGAATTAAAAGAACCATACCACAACGATATATGTGGACCCATGTTTATAGCAGCAGTTTGTAACAGTTAAAGCTTGGAAACAGCCCAAGTACCCATCAACTGGAGACTGGATAAAGAAGATGTGGTTTTTTTATAAAATGGAGTACTACTCAGCCATAAAGAACGAGAAACTAGAGACATTTATAGCTAAATGGATGCATATTGAGGTCATACTCCTAAGTGAAATAAATAGGACATCCATGTGCAAATACTGAATAGTTTCTCTAGTGTGAGAAACTGAAAGTATAAATAAGGATTAAAATGATTAAAAAGAGTAACTGATAATTTGAAATAGGAAAAGATCCAAAGGGGTAGGGGTGGTGGGAGTGGAAGTGGAAAAGAAAGAAGCAAAAGGAAAAATTATGAGAAAAGAAAAAAAATGGAAACAAAGTCTGTGTAAATAGGGAAGGGTGGAGGATGTGAAGGGTGCACAGGGAATGGGGAAAAAATAAGAACCAAGATACATCATGTACAGGTACAAGCACTCAATGATAAATGTAAACGTATTGTATACCTAAAATGTACCGATAAAAGAATTTATTAGGAAAAAAAAAATGCAGTGAAGTTGGAGATAGCAATTTTCAAACAGGGTGGCCAGGGTAGCTCTCTGAAGCGACACTAAACACATGCTAGGCTGGTGCTCTACCACCAAGCTATATTCCCAGTTATTTAGTGACACTAAACAGACTTGAAGGTAGTGGGGGCATCAGCCTTGGGACTTCTGGGGAAAATGCTCCCTGTCTTCCATTCTATGTAAAGACCCCAGGGCAAGAGAGCAGGTCTGATACATTCCCAGAATGGTAAGGAGGACACTGTGCCTGCTGCAAAGAGGGTGAGAGCAGACAGGGAGAGGAGCAGAGGTGAATGGGGCAGGTATGCAAACCTGAGCACACCAAACCTTTTAGGCTCAATCACACAGATCATGGCTTTCACTGTGAATGAAATGTGGACTATAATCAGCACTGTGACAGATTCTGCATGCCATCCTTTTCAGAGTCTTATGACAACACAATTTTAGGGCAGTGACTCTACCAGAGCACAATTTAAAAATCAATTATTTGGGGCCAGGGATTTAGCTCAGTGGTGACACACCTGCTTGACAAGTGCAAGGTCCTGAGTTCAATCCCCAGTACCAAAGAAATCAATTATTTGCATTTTAAATTTTTATCTAAACGCAAATCAAGAGAAAAGATCTTATTTTTTATAATTACTCCCAAAACTTCCTAACACAGTGCTTTGCAAAGTAAAGGTCCAAAACAAATTAATGAATTTTTAATAACCTATAATCAACATCATAAAAAGCTTAGTTTTAATCCAAACAATATGTGGCTGAGATGAATTAATGTTTTTGGGTTTTTTTTTTTTTTGGTACTGGGGATCGAACTCTGGTCCTTGCGCTTGTGCAGCAGGCAGCGAAACCACTGAGCTAAATCCTCAGCCCGAGATGAATTAATTTTAACATGACTGAGTTACTTTTAATATTGAGACTTAACCTTATCCCAATTTTTATACTTTGGCTGTACAGAAGGGAGTGCAGAAGTTCGGGCTTTTACAAAAACACATACACTTGGAAAGTGTCTTACGTACTTACTTGGGGGAGAGCACCGGAGGACTGACAAAACACCGAAGGGCATCTTTAACCATGTCTTGCATGAGATGAGTTCCAAAGACCTTTTTGTTATCCACCAGGAAAGTGGTCTTAAAGCAAATATTACATATCACATTAGTTATTTATGTATATATTAGTAACACTGCCAGTAATGTTGTCATTACTGAGGCATAAACATACTACAGTACCTGTAAATACTACAGAATACAAAATTAAAATATAAAAATTGGTGGAAAATTTTTATATATTATTATTCTACGTGGGTACTGTTTATTAATCCTTATTTAAGGTGAACGGCAATGTAAGGAAATAAAAAATACGCAGAAATAAATAAGTAGATGCAAGAACTGAAGTCAATGGACTAAATATCTCAAATGTGTTAACATGTAAGCAAAGGTTTCATAAATTATGAAATATCAAATGGTTGTATATACAAGTTACTTCATAATAATTTTACTTTGTTTTGTTTTGTTTGAAGTTTTGGGGATCAAACCCTCAGGCCTTGTGCATGCCAGCACTGCTTTATAGTACAACTTTCTGAAAATGGAAAAAATGTATTTCAAAGTTTGTATTTAATGATAATCTGCATTTAATTTCCTCCCCTTAACAACCCCAGAGTATTTTAGTATTAATATACAGACTTTACTTTGCTAATACTGTTTCTAAGTTTATATAAAATAAAATAGATGGTTCTTGTTGCACAGTTCTTAGGTTGTCATAAATGCATGGTTTCCCCAGTACCACATCAAGACACAGAACTGTATCATGACCCAAAAGTTCCCTCACAAGAGCCTTCTGAGGTCAACACTTTACCCCATCCAAAATCTTAGGCAACCACTCCAACTCTATCATTTTGCCTTTTCCAAAATGCCATTAAGATGAAACCATATAGTTTTTGAATTTGGCTTCTTTCATCTTTTATAATGCCATTGAGACTGACTGGCACTGTTGAGCCTATCAATACTGTACTTCATTTCTTTGCATTTGAGTAGTATTTCACTGTCTGTACTGTAACCACTCAGTACCTTGAGAACATCTGAATTGTCTTGTATTTGATGATCATGAACAAACAGTTCTAAACATCTGTGCAGAGGTTCTGGAGAATGTCAGATCTTCTTCTCCTTAGGTAAACAACTAAGACTGTGACCTGCACCTTTAATTTTTAGGAATCTGCCAAACTGTTTTTCAAAGTGGAGAAACCACTTCACATTCACACCAAGACAGATTTTTTTAAAAAGATATTTAAAAAGCTGGATAATATTTCATTGATTTAACTGTATTTCACTAATAGCATACTGAGTACCTTTTCATACTTAATTTCAAATCTTTTGCCCACTTTAAAAATTAGTTTGTTTCTTATTTAAGGAATTCTTTATGTGTTCTAGATACAATACTTTGTCAGATAATTTGTAAATATATTCTCCTACTCTGTAGCATCTCTTCAATAGTGCCTTTCACAAACAGAAGTTTTTATCAGTTTATCACCTCCTTTTATGGATTAAACATTTGATGTCACATAAAAGAACTCTGGCTGGTCGCCGGGGATTTAGCTCAGTGGTTTCACTGCCTGCTGCACAAGCGCAAGGATCCGAGTCCGATCCCCGGTACCAAAAAAAAAAAGAACTCTGGCTTTTGCAAGTTTACAAGCAATTTCTTCTTTAAAGTTTTATGTTTTGTAGTTTTATAGCCAAGTGTGGTGGCACACCCTGCGCTCGGAGGCTAAGGTACAAGAATTGCTTCAAGCTCGAGGCCAGACTGGGCTACAAGGTGAATTCAAGGCCAGCCTGAACTACATGGCGAGACCCTTTCTCAAAAACACCAAAAAAAAAAAAAATTACTGTTTTACATTTTATAAACTTATGACATATTCTGAAGTTATTTTTTTTAGGATTTCAACTGTTCTAAAATTAGGATATGAAACCCCCCCTCCCCCTCCCAGGGATCAAACTCAGGATCTTGCAATTGCCAGGCAAGGGTGGCACCACTGAGCTACATACCAAGCCCAATATGAACTTGATGAATGCCTAACACTCTAAGTCAATACTCTGATTAAAAAAAATGTAACAATAACTGCAGAACAGCCTTTAAAAGCATCTTTTAGGGCTAGGGATGTAGCTCAGTGGCACTGTGCCTGCCTCACAAGAGCAAAGTTTGATCCCTGGTACCAAAAAAAAAAAAAAAGCATCTATCTTTTGTCTATCAGTAAATAAAACAGTATCAATACACACATAATTTAATATTTAAAGCAGTACTTCGATACTAAGTGGAACTTACTTGTAACAGTGATCTTGAAAGAACGCAGGGTGACTGTTCACTAAATTCACAGAAAAAATCCTAATAGAGAAAAAGCAATGTCATTAATAGATTAAGTATCAGAAAATATTTACATCTAGTATAATTTTTTGTAAATGATATACTACTAGAGTTAAAATGTGATAGTCATTTCTATAGGAACTGTATAATTATATCAAGAGGACAATATACAACTTTAGAGCCTAAAAAAATTTTTTTTTGATAGGGTCTCTCTATGTAGTTCAGGTGGCCTTGAACTCACTATGTAGCCCAGGCTGGCCTTGAACTTGTGGTGATCCCCCTGCCTCAGCCTCCCAAGTGCTAGGATTATAGGCATGTGCCACCATGCCCAACCTAAAAAGTTTTTAAAAGAACTAATTAGAAATAGAACTGTGTGGACAGCAATATTAATGTGTACACCATAAAAATATCAATAATAATTTACTAACTAATGGCAGAACTTTAGTACCTACTTCAAAGAAATAAGTATTGAGTAACAAGTCAACTGGATTCATATTACTGACTATTATGGACTTTGGGGAAAGATGAAAGCATATGGGTTTAAAATGCACAAGGAAAAAAAAAAGACAAAATACACCAAAATATTAACACCTGTAGATTGTGAGATAGCAGTTATTTATCATCTTATTTCTCTGCATCTGAGTTAAAATGTATGTATTTTAATATTTGGATTTGGAATTGCCAAGGATAGATATCCATGCCTAGGAACACCTATGCTAATGCTACAGGCTGGGAGAGAGCAGAAGACAGAGGACTTGGAACCTCTTTTGGTAAGTGCGTTGCTACAGAGGCTGTCACTGCGCACACCCCTACAAAGGCAGCATGGTCCCCTTGAGCCCCCCGACCCCAAGCACAGTACTCAAAAAGAACTCAAGAGCTGCATACCCCACAAGCCTATATGCCATCCCAGCTCCACCAAGAAAGTCAAGACTACTGTTGAACTGGGGACAACACCCCACACGAGGAGGGCCAGGCCGGAGGAGCAGAGGGGAGAGTGAGGGGAAGGAAGGGAGGACGCTTATTTAGGTCATGACTATTTTAGAAAGGTTTCCTTTTTCTCCAGGAAGTGCTATTCCCCCTGGTAAGCATCTCATGACTCCTGACTTTCCTTCTATATCAAGCACCATTGTTGTAATTTGGTTTTTCATTTCTTTCTTTGAGACAAAGTCTCACTAGGTGGCCTCAAACTCACCATCCTTGTGCCTCAGCCTTCCAAGTGCTGGGATTACAGGGCATGCCACTGCACCTAGCTTCTTTCCCTTTTATAAAGGAGAAACAAGCCTGTACTTCCTGCTATGCTTTTTTTTTTTCTGCCTTTGGTCATACTAGACATTAAACCCAGGACCTCACACATTTAATCCCAGCTATTTGGGAGGTAGAGTCAGGGAGATCTTCAGTTCAAGTCCAACCTGGCAAACTTAGTGAAACCTTGTCTCAAAGTAAAAAAAATAAAAAGGGCTTTCTATGTAGCTCAGAGATAGAGGACTTGCAGCATGATGTGAGGTCGTGGGTTTAAATCTTAAAGAGATTGTGAATCTTAGAGAACTATCATTACATATTCCTACATATGGATCTAGTTGTTAATTATAAATATGACCTACTTAGTATAAACAAAATTCCAAAAATTTAGGCATTTTGATACCTACAAAAACTTGTATACACGATACTTCCCCCAATCAGGGTATACTCAAAATAGCAATAACTGAACATAATTTAATACAGGATTGCAAGAATGCTTCTGTAGACTGAACTAAGATAGCAGTTTACACCCTCTTTGATTTGCCCTACAATGCTTGATAATGCATAAAAAAACCAAAAAGCCCTTTTCCTTTAATATTCTCAAAACTTTGATGAATACATATTAAAAACAATAATGCCAATTCCATGGTATGAGAGTAAAGATGTCTCCTTAACCTTTAGCTTAAGCCTTCAGATTCACAAGCCAAAGTACCTACAGATGTGGGTGACAAGCAAAAGCGTATCAGAAGTATGTCCAAAGGCTACAATAACCCTCCCCACTTCTCAATCCTACATCAGCTCAAAACTAGAAAAATGTCTATTTAGACATGTGTGCAATCATTCTTTAATAAGAAATCCTACACCTTGCAGAAAAATGTCCAAAGATCACTAAGAATAGCTCAGCAACCTATCCTGACTGGAACTACTACAAATTCCCTGAAATGCCTGGGATGCAACATGGGCTCCTCAGAGGGCTTCATGGCCATGACTGGTAACTCATGACAAAAGTATTAGGCTTTCAGAAGGCTGTCGGTCCTGTGGCTTGTTCCATTAAAAAAAAAGAAAAACTGCCATTTGTCAACTAGGAATAAAACAGAACTGGAAAACAAACAATATACCCCATGAAGAATATCATAGGGTATAAAACAATTAAAATAGGTTGCTTGTATTTCAAAATCTTATAATTAATCTGGTGAAAATGAATATAAACCCAGGTAACCATTAGGACCAGGAAAGTAGATACAGCAGAAAGAATAAGAAAATCTCCATTCTAATTCCTGCTATGGAATTAGAGTCATCTATTTTAGATACAGATCCTCTGGACATCAGCATATCTGTGAAATGGTCTGCAAAATCAACTGGTTTTATAACTATCATTGATTTTTTACTTTAAATTTCTACAATTCTGACAGAATATGGGAAAACTACTAAAAAAGCAAGTACAACAGAAGGTAAAGAAAGGCATTATGGGTGTTTCACTAAGGAACGAGGATTTAAATTGAGCTTTAATGACAAAAAAAATTAATGGAAGAAAAGATAAAGATACATTGTGAGCCCATTTTTATATCTAAAAATAGTTACATATATATATAAACACACATATGTATGCATATACATTCTTATAAAAAAGATTTAAAAGACAGAATCCACAATCCAAATTCCATTCCTAAAACTTGGGTGAATGAGTTAACCTCTAACTTTACTTCTTAATCTCTACAATGGGTAGTAGCCTCAAAAAGATTAAATAGAATGTCTGCATGTACATATATGTAACACACATGATCGTGTGCACACACACAAGTGTAAACTATTCCATTATTAAGCCAAAGTTACACTAGAGAATACAGACTTATACTTACCAGGATACAATGTAAATTTGTTAAATTCACAACCTCACAGACAGTTTTTATTCTATCTATTAATCTTGCAAAATAGTTGACCATTTCTTCCCTTTTAATTATTTTTGCATATCGAGGAAAGGTGGGTGGAAGAAGCCTCTGGTTAACAAGGGGCTCAAAACCCATCATAATTGGATGATCTAAAAAAGAGAGAAGATAAGATTTTCAATCTCCTTCTGAATTTTAAACTGCAAATGCTATTCAATGTAAAGTTAAATGCCAATTTCAAAGGTATCTCAAAACAAATTCTAATCACAAAACCCCATGGACACTACAGTTTATAATTAATATATCTACATATATACTTTTCAAAAAATGAGATAAACAGATTTAACAATTTGAAAACTGTACACCCAACCTACACGGTTGTAGCTGCAGTCGCAGGGGGACTGCTACCTCAAAATGAATTTCAAACCAAGAATGGGATAACACAGAGTAATCTCTCCAGCAAGAGGAAATGCTACGTTAAGCCAAGAGACTGTGAAGAAATGTAAGCCCTGAGCTAAGAAGCAATTAGGAATTTTGGATTCAAAGTTCTCCTCTAAGCATAGTGACTCACAAATATCATGTTCTACTAGGCCTTTTTCCTTTTCTACAACTATTTTCTCCAACTACAGTAGAAACCCTATCTGTATTCCTACCTGGTAGACTTGACACAGCTTGAATGCTTTCTCCTTGGTTCTCTAGTAGTACTGTGTATGCACACTACTATACTATCTGCATGGGGTTACATCATTTCCCCTCTACCTCCAGCTCTTTAAAAGCAGGCAAGTGGCCTATGCCCTGAACAACTAAATACCTGGCTCCTAACAGGCACTAGAAATGTATCTGCTGAATGACAAGACAAACAACACAACATACTTAAGATAAAATGAAAGGCTATTACCACTACAATGAAACAGTTTAAATTTCTGATTTGTAACACTTCACTTAAAACTAAAGTGAAAGTAGTAGTGGGAATGTGCTAAGAAGCTTCTTTACCATACCAACATGAGTGATTTTGGGCTTTAATGATAAATGCACAGAATCCAAATAATTAAATAATATATCACCCTTATTCTCTCTCAAAGCATACATCTAAAATATCCAGGAATATTCTTTTAAAGCACACATCTAAAATTACTATCCAGGAATATTCTTTTATTCTTAATACACAAATGTTTAGGGCCTTACAGTACAAGATGATTAAGATGATTAAGCAGAGAATAGCTACTCACAAAAACCTATGCTACCATGGAAAGAAAGAAATATTAGTGGGAAATGGACAATAAATACATTTTGTACTCTACCTTTTTTTAGATGGGGGGCAATACTGGGATTTGAGCCCAAGGACACTCTACTACTGAGCTATATCCCTGGTCTTTTGTATTTTTAGATGGTCTCACTAAGTTACCTCAATTGAACTTGTGATCCTCCTGCACCAGCCTCCCAGGTAGCTGAGATCACAGGCATGTGTCTCCACACCCAGCTGCATTCTATTTTCAAACAAATTAACAAGTAAAATAAACTATTAATTTCTGAAACTAATTCAACTGTCTTGCATATTGCAGAGTGGGTGTTTAACAGTGTCCCTTTTCTCACTAGATGAGTAGCAACCCCTCCACTGTGAATCAAAGTGTGTATCATCAAGACATTGACAAATGTCCCTCAAAGGTCCCAAAAGGGAAACACTGGTCTAGACAAGTACAGTAAATAATTATAATTCAGTGTAAAAATGCATAGAATAATTAAAGAAAAGACTTCCTAGAAGAACTGAAGACTAAGGAAAGAACTAAAGGATAAGACATTAGTAAAAGAAAATATTAGTAAGGGCAAAGTATTCCAGCATCTCTAAGGCCTAGAGGATAGAAAATACGGTTCCTTTTCTTTTTCCTTTAGGGAGTTGTGATTTTCAAAGTCTTAACTTCCCTAAATTCTGAAAGTAGAAATAGATGCATATAAATAGATTGGGGATAAAGTTTCTTCGCATAAACTAAGAAGTCAACTGTACGAAACTCTCCGTTTTCCACATACATTTAAAATTTCCCCCACATTTCTCTGAACTTTGTTCATCCTAATGGTTAAAGTGTTCGTAATAATTAAGCTATTTTTAAGGCTCAGCTATTGTTTCATATCATGCAAAAGGACTCAGTAATCATCCTATACAAGGAATCGCAAGTTGGTTGAGTAGAAGAGAGGTAAAAACTAAGATATAATAAAAGAGCAAAGCAGTTTTATTCAGGTTATAGACTACAGTTGAAAAGAAGAGGGGCTAAAAGGTAGGCATGTATTTGTGTTTAGTTTCAAGGCAACAAAAATTGAAAAGTAAAAAGTTCATTATACCCAATCTCCTCCCACAAAAAACTGCTTTAACACTTTCCTACTATATTTCATATTACTGGCACACTATCTTAGACCCTTATTTTAATTAAGCTCAACAGGCTGTGAAATAGCCTTATGAAAAGCCCTTTATGAAATGAGCTCAGAAAGGAACACAATTCATGATACCTAGTGTGTGCTCAATAAATTTCTGAACTGAATACAATCAGACAAGGCAGCTTCTAGGTTCCTTCTGATTTTTTACAAGTTTATAGGTGTATAAAAGTTGCCGTCATTTTCCTAGTAAAACTCTTATCTAAGTCACTGATGGTGGCACATGACTGCAACCTCAGCTACAAAGGAGGCTGAGGTAGGATAGAGGGTTCCAGGTCAACCTGGGCAATATACTGAGATGCCACCTTAAAAAACAAGAATAAAAAACTCTATCTGTAATGCGAAAAACTACTCTTAGTACAAGAATATCAAGTGGGATTATTTTCCCCTCGCATTAATATAAGATAAAACCTAACCATTATTTTCAGAACATTTTGACACCAATGTGAAATATTTCAGTTACTAAAATCCCACTAGATCACTGGTCTTCATTTCTATAAATAGAAAAGTATCATAAATAGCACAATGTCACTGGAAAAAAGATTTATAGTAACAATGTGCTTTGGTTTTACATGTCACAAATACAGACATGGAAATGTATTAGTCAAGAGAAATAGAGGCATTATGTATTTTTTTATATGATGATGACTTTTAGAACTCTTCCAAATTACAGAGGCAAGTTACAGTTAGATTTATTAAAGTAAGGTGTGAACACCTTGGTTAGAAAGAATTCTGCAAAGTAACCCAAAAACTACTGTGGTGTGGTTATGTTACAGCTGCACTTCTTAAATGAGACACCCAAAAGAGTCAAATTTATGAAGACAGAAAATATAGACTATATTGTATTTGTTATCCATTTCCCACTAATACTTATTTCTTTCCATTGTAACATAGGTTTTTACGAGCAGCTTTTCTCTATTTAATCTGCTTTTGGTATAAGGCCTCTTACGAAAAGTGAAAACATTATACTAAGTGAAATAAGGCAGATACAAAAGGATAAATATTTTATTATTCTACTTATATGAGACACCTATACAAGACAGGAAATAAAATAGTAGTTACCAGGTCCTTTGGGGCAGAGTTATGGTTTAAAGGACACACAGTTCTGTAGATAGATGTTGGCAGATATATACATATATCAACATAACAGTTAAATCTTACAAACATGCTTAGTACCACTAAGCTACATGGTTAAAATGGTAAATTCTATGTCATGTATTACAGTGGTTCATGAACTTCATTCTTTCCACTTATGTACTCTGCTAGCAGTTCAGTTGCAACCAGAATTGTGGAACAAATTCTGCAACCAGAATCAGGGAAAGAATTAAGTTTATGAATCAAGGTATCACTGTATTTTGCCACAATAAAAAAAAATTACAGGGATGGGGATTTAGCTTAGTGGTGCTGCTGCCTGCCTTGCAAGTGCAAGGTCCTGAGTTCAATCCCTGGTACCAAAAAAAAGAAGTTATAGAAAGATATTAAACAACTGTTATGTTCAAGACATGACCTCAATAAATTCTACTGTAATCACTAGCCAGAATAACCTATAGTTATTATGCAAAATAATATATTTTGAAAAGAGAATACAAGTACATGAAAATGATAAAAACTGTCAAACACAATGAAACCGTATACAATGAAAAGCAATGCTCATGTTCACTTATAATCCCATTTATCTCCTAAGAACTAACCACTATTCCAAGTTTCTCCCAGGTGCAGGTGATTTTGTGTGTGTGTGTGTGTGTGTGTGTATATGTACATATATACATGTATTTTTTAAAAACTTTTTTGCTTAAGAACTTATCACTATTCCAAGTTTCTCCCAGGAGCAGGTGATTTTATATATATATATATATATACACATACACAGACACACACACATACATATATATGTATATACATATTTTATATATATACATATATACATATACACATAATATATATGTATACAAGTATATGTATTTTTTTAAAAACTTTGTTGCAGTATGACTGATATATAATACAATGCAAATATTAAATGTACAGTTCAACATCTTAAAAAATATGTACAATCATGCAGCTACCACAATCAATATAAATCTCGAAAGGTTTCCTGTGTCTTATTAATCACTCCCATGCCCACAATCATGGAATTTCTGTCTCTACAGGTTAATCCTTACTATTTTCAAAAACAAAAGAAATTGTACATTTATATACTTTCACACCTGACTTCTTTTACTCAGCATATTTCCCAGATTGAACCGTGACATTGTATCTATCTCATTCATTTTTACTGTTGAAGCCTGTATTTCATTTTATGGATAGAGACTATAATCTGTCCACTCATATATATTCCTCTCTTTAAAAGATTAATGTATTACTAATCTGCTTGTTTCTTTAAGGTGAACTGTTTTGCAACAATCTCAAACTCACAGTAAAATTGTAAAGTATAGTCAATCCCAAATCATTCTCAAAAATGTTAAGGCGTGGCCAGGGATTTAGCTCGGTGGTTCCACCGCCTGCCTTACAGGCAAGCACAAGGTCCCAAATTCGATCCCCAGTACCAAAAAAGAAAGTTAAATGTTACCCCTACAAACACACACTCTTACATAATTACAATATGACAATCAGAATTAGGAATCTAACACTGACTAACTACTATCTCAGGCCTCATTCAAGTCTTGCAACCTGTTCCAACAATAGTCTTCATATCCATGTCAGTACCACAGCTGCATCTGATTTCACGGTC